GCCTTGAACTGTTTTTATATTAAACATTTACTTTGTCTTTCATTAAATTAATTTACTTCACATGCATTATTTAATACCTATCACGTGCTAGTTTGGAGTTGGGAATCTAGCATTGAATGAATTCCTTCTCCAAAGGGTTTATGTCTGGTTTGAGGAAGATTGATAATTAACACATAATATGTCAAGTGTTGATAAGTTACTTGGATAACAAAGTATGAAAGTGGAACATAGTTATTCTTGCCTGGTATGAATTACATATCCCCAGTAGTTTCTCGTTTATTAACAACCTGACAGTACTTTCTGGACTTCAGATTCCAGCTATTCCATGAGTTTCAGATCTTATTTCACTTTATTTTAGTAAAGATCAGTTGTAGTACTTTCTCAGTAGGCTATGTGAGCTTGTTATCTTATGAGGGTCAAAGTTTAAGCTTTGTGACATGATGTTTTGAGGCTGTAGGGTTTTTAAATTTTTTGAACTTGAATGTGTCTTAGAGGTCATATATATTCTCCACTTCATTGAAATGCTCACAGCTCTTTTTTATTCTTGTGCCAGGTCTGTTTTACTCATCTATGTTACTGACCTGGGCCTTGTAGGTATTTGAGTTTAGAATATCTTCTTTAGGCAGTTTGAAAGATAGTACATTTTTTTCAAGCTGGGAAATCTAACGTAGATAAAATTCAGTTAGGTTTTGTTTAGGTTCCGTATTTTATATTTCTTTTGATTAGTCTGAACTTTTTTGTGGGCAAAGTTGAAAGGGATTGCTTATGTTTCTCTAACAAGAGGATCTACTTTTAGAATTCAAGGGTGTGTGGGTACACACACACACACACACACACACACACACTGTTTGAGGCTGTGTGTATCAAGTGTTAGATAAACCAAACAAATGGCTAATATTATTTGGTTTGTTTTAAATCAGATTGGGTTGAGATTAGCAAGGAGTTAAATATTTTAAAAGTTGTCGGGATTGTTATTTTAAGTGTTGACCGAAGAGTGATATGAAAAACCTTCTTGATCTTTGGCTAAAGGTATGAAAACCAACCAGTGCTCATTCTTCAAACTCCCTGTAGCTCTGGCAGATGCTTATCTGTGTTCTGCTTTCCTTTCTATGGTGAAGATTGGGTGGCTCCTGAGAAGCCACATGTTAGCTAGTGTTCATGCTTCTGGGCCAGACTGTCGTAGACAGGGTGGCTTATTTATCACTCACAATTCTGGAGATGAGAAGCCCAGGATCAAGGCCCTGCCAGACTGGGAGTCTGGTGAGGGAGCCTGCTTCTTGGCTCATAGAAGGCCACCTTCCCCCTGGGTCCTCACATCGTGGAGAGGGTGAGGGGGCTCTCTAGAGTCACTCAGTCCATTCATGAAGATCCACCCCCATGATCTGAAAACCTCCCAAAGGCTCCACCTCCTAATACCATCACCCTAGGGGTTAGGATTTCAACACAGGAGTCTTGAGGGAATGTGAACATTCACTCCATGATAGGTAGCATGTAAGTGAATTGGTTTTCTGTTGTTTTTCAAGCAAAATGTGTGTGCAAATAGATATAACTTCTTTTTAGATGTGGAAATAGGAGTTAAGATTTTCTGCTGTGACTTGTGCCTTTTTCATTTTGGTTTGAAGGTCTCTTCTCAAAGATGTTTAAAAGCAGAGCTTTTTCTTTTTTTTTTTTCCTTAGTGCCACATGAAAGATGTCCGAGAGGCATCAGAAATCTTTGCTTTTGTACTGGGACTTCATTCTGTCCTTACACCTGTGGGACTTCACATCTTAGGTTCTTTTTCCTCCATCAGATCTTTACCTTGGAGATTTGTAGAAGTGTGAGACCTGTGCATGGAAAGCAGGCGGCTCCCCAGCTACAGTGCCGGGTGGAGTTCATTGAACTGAGCTGTCCAGGAACCCATGGGTTGGCCTGTTCATTCTTGGCTTTTGGAACTTGAAGTTTTCTTTCTGATCCGAACATGTTACCTTCTTCAGTTCCCAGCTTTGGGCATAGAGCAGGTGTGTGGTGTGCTTTAGATGATGGACACTGATGTTGTATTGTTTGGTCACTAAGTTGTATCCAACTCTGTGACCCCATGGACTGCAGCACACCAGTCTCCTCTGTCCTATGGTCTCCCCAACACTGATAGGCTCAGTAACCTAGAATCACATAGTAAGTTCTTTGGTTTTCAGTTATTTTCAGGTTTTTTCCTTTAAACTTTAAACTTTTTGTTTTGTATTGGGGTATAGCCGATTAACAGTGTTGTTAAACAGCGAAGGGACTTGGCATAGGGACTTGGTATTGGAGCTAGTTTGTGACACTTCGCAACATCTGCTGATCCCCTTTTATCACTGGGCAAGCAGACTTCACTCAATCTTTCAAGGCAGTAGAACCTCACTAGAATTTAATAACTGTATTTATGTCTATGGATATATTGCCAATGGCACTACTTTTCTGTTTTTGATGAGTTTTTTTTTTTTTCTTTGTTTTGTTTGAAGACGGGTAGTTTTACGCCCAAGGAGGTGATTCTAGGAAGCACCTGTCAGAGTGTGGAGATGAGAGACAGGGATGGTAAGGAAGCCAGTAAGGAAGTCAGCACGGTGGCGACTGGAGTGTGTTCCCAGTGGGGACTTGGGAGTCGGCGCAGCACTCACCCAGAGTAAAGGCAGATGCTCCCGAGGTCTCATTAGTCATGACTTGATGGTGGCTCCTGGGGTGTTAATTCTCTTGAACTTCCAACCTGCCCCTCCTGCAGACAGAGCAGTGGCAGCCAGAGAGCACTGTGGCAGATAGTGGTAGGTGTCCACCACGCGCTTTGTGGGCAGAGCAAGTGGGTGGGGTGCCAGCAGTTCAACTCCAAAATGTGCTGGACTTCTCCTGCATCCTCCTCATCACAGTCAATGGGATCCCCATCCTCTGATGCGCAGGCTAAAGACTTCAGAGTCATCCTTGACCCTTCTCTCACATCCCACATCCAAACCATCAGCAAGTCTTGTTGGCTCTCCCTTAAAATATGTACAGAATCTGACCTTTCCTCTTGTCCTTACTGCTCTCACGTGGTCCAACCCCCCACGTCTCACAGCTTTCTTGCGTAAGGCGGCTGGAATGATACATAGAAAATCAAAGATTACGTCACTTGGCTGCTCAAAGCCCTCCTCCTCTTACTCAGAGTGAAAGGCAGAGTCTCCACTGCTCATAAGGCCCTCCAGGATCTGGCCACCTTCTGCCTTTTGTGTGTGTGCACATGCATGTACAGTTCTTTTTGTCGTTAGTCTTATATGTAGTCAAAACATTACTTTGGTCTCCATTCCCTCCCACCTCAGCCCTTTTTTTTAATGGCAGCTATGTGAATCATTTGTAAATTAGATTTATGTGGCACAGTTTACATTCCATCTTTACCACTACATCCTGGTTGAAATTTTTTTTTCATACAGTGAATGTATTTTTTATAGTGATTAGTTCTCTTGGTTTTGAGAAATGCTCGGAGTGGTGTTTCGGCTACCATGTATCCATACAAAAGAGTCCATTGTCTTAAACGTTGCCTCCTGCTTCCCCTTGGTATACAGTCCCTCTTTCAACCTTCTAGTCTCTGGCAGCTACTGATCTGTTTTCCTCCCTACAGTTTTGCCTTTATAAATAAGTGAGTCTTACCATATATGTATATAGCCTTTTAGGTCTGATTCTTTCACTTAGCAGATATTCCATGTTGTGCAAATCACTAGTTAACTCCTCAAGTGTCCTTTAAGTATATTAAAGCCAACCAAAAAAAGTGAATTAAAAAAAATCTTGAACAAACACAGTAGATGTGGCACATAGATGTGAGAAACATCTTGAACCTTAGTGAACCTAAAATTGGGAAATGGACTGGTGGTGGGTCAGGCCATAAAGAATCTGCCTGCAGTGCAGGAGACCTGGGTTTGACCCCTGGATCGGGAAGATCCGCTAGAGGAGGCGATGGCAGCCCACACCAGTATTCCTGCCTGGAGAATTCCATGGACAGAGGATGCTGGTGGGCTACAGTCCATGGGGTCACAGAGTTCGACACGACTGAGTGACTAACACTAATGTGATAGAGAGATACCAGATCAAGACTTCATTTTTCCTGGTACCACTGCCAGTGATTAGCTGTGTCCTCTTGGGGAAATCACCCTTCTGCTCCCAAGTTTCTGGTAAACTCAATAGTAAAATGGCTGATCTAGTAGTTGTTAGCTCCTGTCGAGACTCCTAAAATGCAAGTTATTTTAGGTGCTTTGGGTAGCTCTTTTCACTATTAACATTACAGTGCTGTCAAGTACCCATCACCCCTGGGTTTCACAGTTAGGACAGGCTGTTATATAAATGCTTTATTAAACCCATCCTGGAGGAATAAGAGCCAGCCATTAGGAATGAGGTAAGCCTTCAATTTATGGCTGCAGTTCCTGGACATTTTTCTGTTGGACTTATCTAAAGGATGGGATTGCGTGAGCCTGCATTACAGCTATTGTCATGTCCAGGAGCTCCTGGTGGTGCCATAAAATCTTAGCAAGTTTCTAGCACTGTAGCATTTGGAATTTAATCTCCACAGTCATTTCCTTAGGTAGATTTTCCCAGGGGTTTCTGTAAAGATTGATTAGAAGTTAAGTTTCCTAGAACTTTATTGCGGTTCATGAATAGGCCATCTTGTTGCATCATGGACAATGTGTATTTGAAGGTCAGTGCATGTTAGGAATGCTCCAGTCATCACAGAAAACTGCAGAGGGAACCAGAGAGAATTGCTTGTTTTGTTATTTTTAACGATAGGTAGATTTATAGTAATTTTTTGTTTTTTTCCTTTGTATAGTGATTTTTAAAATCATAATTCATGGCTGCTTAAATTCCCTGATCAGACTGGGCTTTTTGAAATTGGAAATGAAATAATAATTGAGTTGTATTTAGGTGATAAATTGTCAATGTAAAATTAGAGGAATTTGAAAAACTGCTGTGATTTGTGTTTATTTTATATGTGGCACATAGTAATATTCATTTTACTTTTTACTTTTAGTAATGAATGTTATAACTATTGAAGATTATAAGAGCACATACTGGCCAAAATTGGATGGTGCCATAGATCAGCTTTTAACTCAGAGTCCTGGTGACTATATCCCCATATCCTATGAACAGATATACAGGTAAGTCAAGATTTTATTTGCTTGAATTTTAGAGGGTATATTGAGGTTCACAGCAAGTTGAATTATGACAGTATGTATGCATATAATATATGATACATACAGTGAGGCTCTATAAATTATTTATATGTTACACACTTGTGGATTGGGAGTTTTATTTGTACTTCTTGCTTCAAAATTGGTTTTCAAATCAAAGTATTGTTAACCCTACCTCAGCCTGCCACCCCCACCAAACACAATGCAGAAATTATAGAGGTCAGTGAAAAAGGTTAAAAAAAATATTGTCCTTTTAGTCTCGTGGGGAAGTGCTAGCTTGTTCTGTTGATGTTTACGATACACAAGTTTACCTAGCTTTGGTGATTTTGTTTCCCAGCTCCTGGTAAGTGAAAGTAGCACATTAGTGAGGACTGGGGTGGGATGTCAGATCAGCCCAGTCACAAGAGGAGGAAGTGACAACTGTGCTGTTCTACGCAAGTGAATCACAAAGACATTACATTGCAAACCCTTGTGAGTTAGAAACTGTGCTGTGTATCACTCGCTCTTCCTTATTTTGATGTCCATTAATATCAAAGAAAGAAGCTGACTTTTAAGTAGTTGTCATAGTCAAACTCAGATTATTACCCAGTATTAGGTTATCTAGTACTGATAAAATAGTTAATAGGATCCTCAGAAAGATTCTTTGTAGCTGGCAGTGCTGGCTGTTCCATCTGAACACTGATAGGGGCAGAGTACATTTTTGTCTTAAGAGTTGCATTGGTCACTTTGTTAGGCCCGAATTAATTCACCACTGGTTATATATTGAGGGGATGCCTTTCCCTTGGGCTGATGAAGTGTGTCATCCTTGATTTTTCTGTCTGCCCTCCTCCCCACAGTTGTGTGTATAAATGTGTGTGCCAGCAGCACTCGGAGCAGATGTACAGTGATCTGATTAAAAAGATAACTAACCACTTAGAACGAGTCTCAAAGGAGCTGCAGGTAAAGAACTGATTGTATTGATTTTTGCTTCTTCAAATTGTCTCATCTTGGGAATAGATTAATTTGAAAATTTGACATTAACTGTGGACATTTTTAGATTAGGTGTATTTCCAACCTTAATTCCATTTATTAACCATGTCAGCATTTCTTTTCTTTAAAACCTTATATGTTCTGTTAACCTCAGTCTTTGATGACTTCTGTATTATGAACGTGTGTATATTTTAATTTTTTCTGAACTTTTTTTTATTGTTATCTTTGAAGCGTTATTTGCCTACCAATTTCTAATATTTGCTAATATTAACAACTGAAGTTAGCATTTTATTGGTCAACTTTCTACAGATGAACATCATCCCAGCTGTAAAATCTGGGCAAAGTTGCAGAAATATTTTGTTTAAGGAAGCGGTTGGCTTCTTGATAGCACTCTGGCCCTCCCCACCTCAGTAGAGTTTCCAGTGCTTGAAGGTCACATACTGTCGTTATTCCAGGGCCAGTTCACATTTTAGTTGTGGTGTAGAAATTACAGGATGTGTAGAAAAGTCCCTCAGCAGTGGATCACCAGGGTCCACCCCACAGTTAGGACATGCTTCAGCAATTCTGAAATATCCAGTTTCCAGCAAGTGCTGGGTTACTATTTGGATATTGTTCCTCACTTCCCTTGTGGTCTGTGGTGTCTTAGTTTTTGTTTACCCCAAACAGTTGTTGTACTAAGTAAAAGTAGCTTTTTCTTTAAAAATTATAGCCAGAGTTGTATTTATCATAGCCAAATATATCTTCTTCCCATTGTTGGTATAAATTGTTTTCGTCATCTTTTTTGCCATTAAATGCAAAATCTGTCTTTTTTGTCTTCTTAAACATTTTATTTTGTATTGGGGTATAGCTTATTAGCAAACAGTGGTGTGATAGTTTCAGTTGAACAGCGAAGGGACTCAGCCATACATATACATGTAAATACAAAATTTTTATTCATTTAACAAATATATTTAGTATTAGGCATTGTATATGAATTACAGGTAAAACCTAAGACCCGTGCATTGTAGCTTTGAATGGTTTGGTTAATAATTCTTGACACTACCCTCTCTGAATCCCCATGTCCAATTTATTGCCAAATCCCATTTATGTTCTACTTCTGTCTTGGCTCCTGTCCACTTTCCATCATCCAGTCCAGGCTACGTCTTTTTAGGTGTGTTCTAAAATGCTCATCTCAGTTGGTGCTTTGCCTCTACTTTTAACACTTCTAACTAGAATCTTGCATTTTAGAGTGACTGTTTCTAAAATACAGCTCTGATAATCATATTCCTGTTAGAATAACATCTAAGCTTCTTAATGGGATTTAGAAAGCCCTTCATTGTCTTGACTCCTGCTTATTTCTGTAGCCTTAATGGCTTTTAGAATGAGATGGTTGGATAGCATCACTGACTCAATGGACATGAGTTTGAGCAAACTACGGGAGACCGTGAAGGACAAGGAAGCCTGACATGCTGCTATTGACGGGTTCGCAAAGTTATACATGACCTAGCGACTGAGCAACAATAATGGCTTTTCTGTTCCTGAACTTATTTCAGTTCCATGAACACTTTAGGTACTCTCTCACATCTTGGCTTTTGCCATGTTAAGCTGACTGCCTGAAACATTCTTCCTTTCCTCTGCCCTCTTATTTTGTCAGTCATTGTGAACTTAACATTCAAGCTGCAACTCAGACATCGTTTGTTTTGGAAAACATTCTCTGATACCTTGTTCCCCAAGTCTGGGTTTGGGAACCCCTTATCTGTGCTTCTCTAATACTGACTATGTCATGGTAGTTCATTGTGTATTGTAATTTCTGGTTTAGCTGTCCCCTCTCCCCACACCCTCTGCCCCAGTACCGTGTCCTGAGAGAGCAGAGGTGCATGTCTGTCGTCTTCATTATTGTGCTGTTATACCTTACCCAGTGTCTGATACACACTAGGCATCACTTACTGAGTAAAAGTGAATGAATGTTTATGAATATTGATCATCTCTTGGATAATGAAAATTTTTGTAGTAGAAATCTGAGTTTGATCTTGTTTTTAACCTGAAATCTAGGTGGTCTTCTGGGTGTAGGATATATCAGAGATTTCATTAGATCAGCGAAGAACTCATCTCAAAAAGGATCGTTTTATTAGTACTCTTTTGCTGTTATTGAAATAATGTTAAATAGTCTTCTAAAACAGAAAGCAAACCTTTCAGTTCAAATTATAAGGATAAAATATATCACTTGTCTACTTATAAGAGTCACCTTTGAAATGTGAATTGGAGATTTTATGATACATTTTATGCGTGTGCTCTGACTTCAGGTGTGTTGTTAATTTGACTGATAGACTTCTGATTTGCCAAAGCGATTTGTCGTAATGCAGTTTCTGCTTGAGTAGATTTTTCTGGTACTTAATTTTGTAAGCAGTGTAAGACTTTTCATTCTTACAATTAGAATATTACTGTAAACTATTTTTAAAGGTAGAGGGCCTTGTAGTATAGTATTATCATGCTCTGTCTAACCAGTAGTTTTGGAAGACCACTTGGCTACAGTCTCTGGCATAAATTTACTTGATCAGTTATTGGTAACCCAAAGGTAACCTGTTACTTGCCCAGGATGGACTGTACAGGGAATTAATACCTGTGAGTCACTGAAGTTCAGAGTGAGTTTCTGCTGTTTTGGAGAGTGATCTCTGACTGTGTGGAGCTCCTTTATTCTTTGTCACGAATGCACCGTAGTTCATTGTACCTTGCTTTATGGATGTTGCGCAGTTTATTTAACCACTTTTTAACCAGTGAATATTTAGGTTGCTTCCAGCCTTTGGCTGTTACTAGCAGTGCTGCAGTGGATAGTCACTCTTGTAAGGTTTATTGTGCTTTGCTTTATTGCGGTTCACAGGTGCTGCATTTTTTACAGATTGAAGGTGTGTAGCAACCGCAAGCTGAGCAAGTCTACTGACGTCATTTTCCCAATGACATCTGTTTGCTGAGTGTCTCTGTGGCACATTTTGGCAATTGTTGCAATATTTCAAGCTTTCTCATTATTATTATATTTGTTATGGTGATTTGTGATCAGTGATATTATTACTTCAGGTTGCTGAAGGTTCAGGTGATGTTTAGAATTTTTTAGCAGTAAATTAGTTTTAAACTAAAGTATGTACATTGATTGGTTTTTCTTAGACATAATGCTATTATACACTTAATAGACTATAGCACTGGAAAACTAAAAATACGTGTGACTCGGTTTATTGATATCTCCTTTATTGCAGTGGTCTGCAGTTGAACCTATAGTTTCTCTGAGGTCTGCCTGCCATCTCTTTGTGCATATTTTGTGGTTCACAAAAGTTGTGCCAAGTTATGTGCTCCCTCTGCTTCAGTGTGTATCAGAATGCCTGTTTTCTCTACCATTACTAATATGGCATGTTAGGTAACTAAAGAATTTTTGGTTTATATTAATATAGGGATAATTCTTATAAAATTAAAATGTAGACAGCGGTGATAGCTCTTGTGAGCTGACATTGAAGTGAAGTGAAGTCGCTCAGGTGTCCGACTCTTTGCGACCCCATGGACTGTAGCCTACAGGGCTCCTCTGTCCATGGGATTTTCCAGGCAAGAGTACTGGAGTGGGTTGCCATTTCCTTCTCCAGAGCTAATATTAGGTGATAGCTAATACTTTAAAAGCCATATTGCTAAATATGTAGATAATATACTATGTAAAACCAGGGAACTTAGTTTACTTTTAGAATCAATGCATATCCTACTTTGAATTCAGCAACATTGGACTATGAAAAATCTTACTTTGAAATGATCTCTGTTGTAAAATTGTTAAGTCAAACCATTATTAAATAGCAGGGTAAAGTGGATAAAAGTATGGGGACCTGGGCTCTGGTCTCAACTCTTGCCCCTCAGCAGCTATTTGCCTCTTGATTAAGCATGCTGATATCATCTTGCAAATTTTCTCAGTGTTAAAATGAAGTGGCTTTACCGAAATATCTGGTTCCTTTACTCTCAAGTCTAAGATACTTTTTCTTTGCTTACTACCTGGCCATTGCTGCTTCATTCTTTTCTCAGGCTTAAACTCATTAGTGTCCACCTGTGTAAAATCTTCCCAGCACCCTCACATTTCCCTCAGACAAACAAAACGCCATTGGAACTTTTCCTTCTGTGTACTCATAGCATCTTGGCAATAACAACTCTGTATTGTTTCTGTGTCCACGTCTGGACGCCTCACAGCTCCTTCCTCCTTAGAGGGCAGGGGCTCTGTCTGGTTTGTCTTTTTGTCCCTGGTGCCTGGCACAGGTGTTTGTCAAGTGAATGTTCAGCATCAGATTGGGCCAGTGGGAAGAGTAGCATAATTCGTGACCACTCATCTCTGTGTCTCTGGATGCCTGTTGTTCAGTCTCTTAAGTCGTGTCCAACTCTTTGTGACCTCGTGGACTATAGCCTACCAGGCTCCTCTGTCTATGAGCTTTCCCAGGCAAGAACACTGGAGTGGGTTGCCCTTTACTTCTCCAGGGGATCTTCCCAGACCAGAGGTCAGACCCACGTCTCCTGCGCTGGCAGGCGGATTCTTTACCACTGAGCCACCTGGGAAGTCCTAACTAGTGTGGGCATTTTATTAATTTATTCATTTTTCACTTAATCCAGTATATTAATTTATTCAGTGTTGCAGGTGTGTGGCATAATCATAGTGTAATCTCTACTTTATAGAGACCTTAGGGACAGCTTTCATTCGGGACAGAACCTGAGAGTATGCTCAGGCCCCTTGAGCCAGAAGAGTTTCATTTAGGTGGAATGTTTTGTTTGCAGCTCTGAACTTAATAGTGAAATACTGTTATGAGCTAAAACAGAAGTGTGGAGTGAGTTGAATTTGGCAGATAATCAGAAATTTAGTGTTGGGGTTAATATAATCAGTGAATGGAACCTTTAGGGCATCAGCCTCTTATCTATCAAGAGCATCTTAAAAATAACTACTGGTGTGTGTATAGTTTACACTGTCAGAATGATTTATT